ATTTTGCAACTTCAAAATCATTACCCAAGAATGGTTTACATTCTTGAGCGAAGCCTCTCATTGCTTGTTCATTTCCAAAAGTTTCAATTTTGTGTTTTTTATGCCAGGTGTTAAACCTCCCTGGCCAAGCACATTCTCTGCGAAAGTTGAATAAACCTTGTTCTTTGCCGGCAGGTCTCTTATAGAAGCAATGTTCGATAGAAGTGGTGGTGTGCGCTATTCTGATGCATTACTATAGTGGGGTCGTCCAGTAATTAATCTTCTAGTTCGCGATGCATGCAAAAAATAATTTTGCAGGAGAGGAAGGCTCCAGGACGGCCAGACATCTTATCCAACGTGGCTACATATCTATGTGACGGATTCAGGACTGCTAAGGAAGTCTACGACTGCTTGTTTCTGAGAACCTCTTTCGCATACTTTTCACTTGAAGCTAAAAGTAGAAGATTTTCGGCCTGAAAAAAGTGGACGATGCCCTCAAGATGTACGAGACTTCCTTCTTCTCGCAATCCACAAGCGTCTCTTCTCAAATATTTTCCGTGCGAGCTCACACGCTATGCATGACATTGCCGAAAGCTTATCATTTCAGCGCATTCTTCTAATTTGGCTGTAATTTTTATGCGATCAAAAAATTCTAGTCACTACGAAGACAAATAAGATGCTAATTCTTTCTGTCAGCGATCTACCCTTTCTTCAAGCTCTCTAAAATTTATTCACCTTTGCGAATTGTATGATTGACGAATAGAAAATGTATTTTCCAAACATGATGTCATAAGTTGTCAAGATGAGGGCGAGAGGGAGGCGGACAAGAAGGGTCATCTCAGAGATGCTTCAGAAGTCACATTTTGCATAAAAAATTTTATCCGTGAATAATCAAAAAGAATTTTCTTTGAATTTTTAAAAAATTGCGAAGAAACATTTTTTATGGGGCAGTGACCTTCACACAAATTTGTTGGAGGACGTGGCATTGCCAAGTCCTTTCATTTGGAAATGGACATCTGTAGTCTCTCTATCCTTCCCAAAAATCATAGTAGGACCTCTTTCGATAGGTTATAGTGATTACTGTTTAGATCCGTATCAGCAGAAGAGCAGTTAGGCTAGAAATATTGAGCAAGGGTGCGTAGTCCTTGAGCGTGATGCACTAATGTCGTATTTCCGCAAAATCGAATATCTCTATATGCATTTTGGCTGAAAATATGTCTTATTGGTCTTATTTCCTGCTTATTCGATTAATAATCTTTCCTCTCATGTGTCATGTTGACTGTTTTGCCATCCGTATGTAAACTTGTCAGCAACACGATACAATTCGTATAAGTGCTGTCATTCAAAACAAAATTTATCGCATTAGCTGAAGTAGTCAATTGGAACTTTTACGAACTATGTGTGTATGGCACATTAGGAAACATCCCAGCCCATACTCTTGCTTGAAACTTGTATGTTCTTCTCTTCATTTTCATCTGTTCTTTTACTTTCCAATTTACTCAGAATTAATCTGCACATTCAGCTTGTTCTTTGAGAAACGTTCTTCGTTCATAACAAGCTATCTGTCCCCTTACAATTTTATCAGGTCGTCCCGAAAAGCTTGTCTTTATGGATTTCCGCAGTTTTTTCTTGCTCAACGGGTTCGCTCCAATTCAATTCTGTTGAAAAGAAATCATGTATTTTGCGATGGCCACCGACTGCAGAGGTAAAAATCGGAAGAACAAAATCACTTAAGTCTAACCTTCAATGTTAGCTGTCAAACAATTTGACACTTTCCAAAAAAGGTTTGTCAATATATTGACTTTATGAATTGATTTTCCAAAAAGGAGTTTGGTGTCAATCAAATATCTAAGAGAATTATGATTCTCGAGGCAACAGTACTGATCGCATGGTTGATTTTTTTGGCATTTTTTTTTGTGAATCGTAACTTTTTCGGAAACGTGAAACTAGCACACTCTCCATTGCTATGAAAGAACAAATCATGAAACCTAGCTACTGGGAATTTCGGAGAACGATCGAATCTTGAGTGGAAACCTTCCATTTTTATCTGTTCAATCAGAATTCACAATAAAAACTTTGAGGGAAAATTGCAAAGAAAATGGATTTTCCTGATCAAATAGTGGCAACCCACAAATTTGCGAAAATAAAGATGCAGAACTTTCACGACTATCTGGTATTTCTGTCAACTCCCGCCAGTCATTTAATATGGCCTTCTTTCCTTGTTCATATCAGTTCCATTAGAAAATGCTTCCTGCTACTACAATCCCTAGCAACAATTACCAACCACCTTTTGATGAAGATATTTTTCTTCGCTATCTCATTGTCACCGCTACTGAAACCAAAAAAGTGTGCACATGCAGATTTATTGGATCATTCTTGATCTCTTGAAGAGTAGCATCAAATTTAGCGCGCACTCGGATCGATCTTGTCGTAGTTAGCAAAATCACATATCCTTTTTGACGAGCGAAAAGCGTAAGGTGAACATTAGCAGTCATTCAGTCAGAACTCCTTTCAAAAATAATTCTAGTTGTACATGGTTAAGAGTTTTCATAAATGAAAGGTGAAGTCATGCTAGCTTGTTTTTTGGGAACATAATATCGAACATTAGATGTTTCCTTGACGATAAAAGATTTTTTCCGAATAGAGGGTGCTCCAAAATGAGCAAGTTGTTCTTTGATATACTTCTTGCTCCGACGTCTTTCACCGTTCTTTAGGCACCATTCTGCCAAAATCTTCAACTAAGATTAGATTCAAAGTAACGAGTCATTGATATCTCTTCATTACTATAGGATTACGGTAGGAGCATTGAACAGGTTTTGAGCCAACAATGGGCACTTACTGCCTCAGAAAAACCAAACAACCTAAAAAACTTTTTAGGCTAATGAGTCGTGAATTTGAATATAATTATGAGTCGCTGAATAGGTAACCCTTCCTTGGTTATGCCAAGCATCCCGTAACGACTGTTTTGTGATGTTATTTGATTACACTATTTAGCTCGAAAACTCGTAACAAGTTGCATAGTGAAATCAGCTGCTAAACTTTCCAGTTTTTCGAATTTTTTCGAAGTGCCTATTTCACAATAGCGCTATATACCGAAAGTTCCTAGTGTTACCCTGCGGTGAAGAAAAGCATCGGTGACGCCATGCTGTGAATCTTATTGTTAGTAAGCGGAGGCCAGCTTTGTAGAACTGTACTTCAAAAGCGACGAAAGACATTGGAGCAATATATTAACGAAAAAACGGTGTGCCCACCTTTGTGTACTCTGTATATCAGTTTTTTTTTCTTGTGCAAACACAATGACAAGGTAACCTAATATTTGGATATACCATTCGCAAATGACAGTTTTCTCTTCGATCTCTAAAAGGCAATTTAACCGCTGAATGCATCACAAATATGTTGAATCATCGTATTCTTATTGCGTACACAACTCTGCTCTCTCCAAGTCGGGTCCAGTTTTTAATCATCATATTTCGAAAGATTTGTAAGAAATTTGACTTGTTTCATTATCTCGCTCCTATTCGTCACCAAAGTATCCGCGAAGTAAATTTGACTTTTCTTGACCTAAAAGCTGTTATGAAGGGTACGGCTTAGTCATATCAGGCTTTGTATAGGCAACCAAAATCTTTTTTAAGTCCATAGTAGCAACAAATGTGTATTTGTACACTTGTACATCAAGTAGATCCAAGAAGCAATTTTGTTTAGTTCTGTAGCAAAGTCATGCGAAACAGGAGGACTTGATTGTCCGAGTGGCGTTCGATACCATTTTCTATCATTTTGAAATCAATCAGCTCATAGCATACTCTTTGAGCAATAAGGATATGGAAGACTCTCGCTGTTCGTCAAAATTGAAGAATTTATTCATTACTCACTTCCTCATATAGAATTAGTCTCCTTAATTTCTCTAGGGTGTTGAGCATGTCACAATTTCGTTTCATTACTGCTTTGTCTGTCGCTGCATTCGTGTCTTGTACTGGCGCACTGTGCACAACAGTGTATCAATAAATAAAAATATTGTCTTTCAAAAATACAGCAAATTTATCAACAATGAAATGGAGCAAAGAGTACAATCTCGTTCAGAAAACGTGAATTCAATTTCTCCAACTGTGAAGTTTGTTATAAAAAATAGGTTGCTCGTTGGTTCTCCTCAGACGTTTCTACTCACAGCTTGTCAGCTCCGCCAAGCACTGCAGTGCTTAAATCATTTCGGACTAAATGTGGAGGTACCTATACTTTAACCGACCAACACGTTGACGACCGTGTGCATACACGCGTATGCATGCCCGGACTCACGTTCAGCTCTTTCATTTACCAGTTTTTCATGTGCAAACGAAAAGTTCTAAGGTAACTTCTATGCAGTAATAATATTGATGGTTCGATGTCATATAGAACACAGGGCATTGCGGAAGCTGTTCGGGAGTCTAAACCGCTGATAGACATATTCAATCCATTTTGAATTGAACTAAAATGGCTCGGTCGTCAACGTGTTAAATTGCTTTTCAAAGAATAAGGAAGCAATATCTTCCTACTCGTTTTATTTGTTACGGGAATCCCTACAAGGACAGGATAACACCATTCTATTATGTTATTACTACGCAAATACTTCTTTGCTAAGCCTGCGTGACACCGGGAAGTTTATCTAACCACGGATGAATGTGGGATTTCATTTGCTCAATGCCAACACCTCTGCGACTAATTCTGCAAACGTCATTGTCATTATCCCAGTTTGCAGATAAATTCTTGGTACATTGTTATGTGACATTCTACTAGATGTGTTCTAACCTTTTGTGCACTTTCCCATCTCTACCTTCTGTATAGTATTATAGATTGACAAAGCGAAAAAGTAGCATTCATAATGAATTAACCAAAGGTCTCATTTCCGTGTTGTTTAGTTATATTTCTCCTTAGACGATTGCGAAATGAAGAAAACTGTGAAATAATTTTCCTAATCATGCGTTTTCAATTTCGAACGTTTTGCCTTGTTTTCACAGTAACTAAGTGAAGAAACACTAGGAATTTTCAGAATGTTGGTTCCCGATGGCGTTTGCGGTTATACCGAGCGTGTAACCACAACTCGATTTATTTACATCTCAGTAGCTGGATTAGTGGCAGTGTTTGGTAAGATTCACAAAAGCATTCATTACTGATTTTTGATTCAAGAATTTTAGGTTTTTTCTCAAACATTTTGCTAATTCTGTTCCATACCACACCCTCAAAGCCACCATCGCACTTCCCAGCATTTCTTGCGCTACTTGATGCCCTACTGTGTTTCTGCTTCGTAGTTATTTTCGTCGTCGACGTTAATATGATGTATCTCGAGTTACCGGTAAGTCATTGTACTTACGAGCGTTCTGCCAATTGTTTTGGTGGTGGAAATTGATTCGACTATGAGGGGATGGATGGTGGGTTAAGGCAAACTACTTGATGCTACAGAGGCCTTAAAAAGCATCCAGGAAGCACTATCAGATACTACAATCTTAGTCGCTGTACACCCAAACCAATTTCACTCAATCTCTTGCTAAAATATTAGAGTGTACAGAGCAAAATTTTTTATGAGTCTACACTTCATTGACAAGACATTGTCATAAAAGTTATGTTGTGGCAATGCGAAATTCGGAGAAAGTGCCAGAAGGAAAGTTTTACTCAAAGGAGAAGCTCTAGAAATTCGCAATTTGTTTTTCAAGTCCAAAATTCAAAATTGTTCGATATCCCAAAAATCTAGCCCTTGCCCGAAAAGGTTATGAAATTGCAAAATTTTCTCATGTATATTCAGTATAGGCCAGTGGACCCAGGATTTCGGCTCGGGGGGGGGGCGGCAAAAATTTTTTTCAAATGAAGGTGCGTGGCGTCAGCCACGCACTCCGAAAAAATTTTAGGGGGCTTCTCAAAACTTTTGCGAGCCCCCAACCCCTAGAATCTGGAAAAAGGGGGCGTGGCGTCAGCCACGCCCCGAAAAAATTTTTTTTATAAGGCTAATTTGAATTTTTAAAAAATTTTAAAAATTATTTTAATTGTTTACAAAAATAAGCAAGTCACTTGCACATTTTTATAACTCATGTGAGTAACTTTCAAGAATTTCGCGACCCCTTCTCGGGGGAGGGGGGGGGGGGCGCCCCCCCCCCTCGGTACGCCACTGATATAGGCATGTACATATGGTTGTTATCATCGTTGTGTTTTGTGTTTGACAATAAAGAAACAAATTGAATTGTAATTGCGACTCCGTCTTAAGCAACTCACATACATATTAGGTCGTTCCGAAAGTAATGTCGCTTTTTTCAAATATACGCCACATCTCATGGAACAAAGATGTGTAAGAGATTTTGGTAGTATTTGATGCAGGATTTCATTCTCTTTCTAAAGCTTATATAAGCAGTGCACAAAATTTGATAACCTCTCGAAAAATTATTAAAATCTACAACCCATGTTTTTTGAGAAGGCCAAGTTCCATAATTATTTAAAATTTTTATAACAACCCTTGGAAGGAGTCCAAGTAATGGATGGATAGAGCAAACCCTACAGGAAAGCACAACTTTTTTCTACTTTTCAGAGCTCGTCATAATTTTTGCACAGATTTTTTGATGGAACCACCGAATTTTAACAGGCTCGTCTCAGACAACTGCATCAAACACCAATAAATCTTGGGATTTTGAAACTCACAAAGATGGATTATGGTTTGACACTAATTTTACAAACCAAATGAGCATTCACCGCTTAGATTAGCAACTTTTGAAAATTCCGGGTACAGCCTGGAGCGCCCAGGAAAACCTGATTTATGATGATTTTATCCCGGGAAAGTTGATGAGTCGGAAACAAAAACGACGGTAGAAAGAGGAGAAAAAGCTGCGTCGAATGACACCCGAATTGCTTGCCAGTTGTAGTTCTGTGACGCTTGAGCTAACCAAATATGGAATTTGATGGCATCAAAGAATTAATTCCACAAACTTTAAGAAGCAAGCTAAAGAAAAGAAAAAGATTACTCTGTGTCCTATAGGGTTCGCTCTATCTACCTGTCTCTTGCACTTCTTCGGAAAATAGGTACGAAAGTTTAGAAAAATAGCCGGACTTAAACATGGCAAAAAGCATGCGTCGCAGATATTGGTAATTTTCCGAGGGCTCATTGATTATTATGCAATGAAATTATAGCCGTTAGAGGATGAAATGCTGTATCGAATGCTTACAAGATCTCGGGAAAAGCTTGATCCCATGGAATGTGGCGTTCATGTGAAAAAAGCGACATTACTTTCGGAACGACCTAATATAATACCGCTTACATTTGAAAAAAAAAAGACGCGAATGTCGCATCATGTATGAACATCACCGTCGCGCGGCCATATCTTGTTTCAGAGTGGACTAACTCTGCATCTAAAGCCACCATTCGACTCAGCTTGGCGCGGCCATCTTCCGATATATAGAAGTGTCCACTTGGACACAGTAGGAGGTCAGATTCCACGGATCGTTTCAGATTTTTGCTTACGGTAGGTTACTCAAGGTGCCTTCATACCGCTCCGGCAGCCGCCGCTAGCCTCCTTTAGCCGCTTTTGCACACTATCCTAGTATTCCGAGCGCTTTATTAAACGTCAAAAAATTAGCTATTTGTAATCAGAATGCCGAATAAAGCCACTAAACCAAATTTGAGCAAGATTCGTGGTTTCGATATTGAGGGCCCGGATACTGAAATAGTGCGCAAAGGCGGCTAACGGCGGCTGCCGGCGTGGTACGAAGGCGCCCTCGGTGTGCTTATTCATTGCACCCACTGGGCAACCCACCGTAAGCAAAGATCGAAACGATTCGTGGAATCTGATCTCCTACTGTGTCCAAGTGGACACTTCTATATATCAGATGCGCCGCGCTGAGCTGAGACGAATGGTGGCTTTAGATGCAGAATTCGTCCACTATGAAGCGAGATATGGCCACACGACGGTGATATTCATACATAATGCGACATTCGCGTCTTTTTTTCAAAAAATGTGAGCGGTATTGTATATGTAGGCCACGAGTCTTTGAAATTACAGCACAAAGCGGAAAAAAAGGGTCTAATCTAATTCTGAGTCTGCACTTGGTGTAATTTCAGTGCAGTTTTACAAAACGACTGTTAAAATGAGCTACTTAGCTTCAAACACTCTGCAAACTTTGTAAAGGTCGTAGAGCAGCTAAGTAAATTCCATTTCACTTGATGCTTATTCGACAAGTAAGTTTTGTTTGACGTTAGAATCTAAGCTGCTCCATATTTAAACGTTCTGTCAATTGAAAGCTGCTAATTCCAGGGTCTTTTCACATTCTATCACCAGTATATAGTTATTGCTTTTTCTACCGCAAAAGTTGTGCAGCTACTCATTCCGTACATGCTGATCATGGCCACATTTGAGCGATATAAATGGATTGTCAAACGAAAGCAAGTTTGTTCACTATTGACCTTTTCATACTCTGCCCTATGTAAAGCAGTTCAGCCTTGGAGGGTAATACATATTAGGTCTTTTGGAAAGTTAATGCCGTTTTTGAGAGATGCTCAAACCACCTAAAATAGTGATAGAAACGCTCTAAACAGTTTTCAACGCAGAATTTGTTCATGCTTCTAGCAGTTTTATAGGTTCCATTGATGTCCGTTCAAAGATTCGTCAAAATCTCCAACCCATAGTTTTCACCCATCTTAAGTTCGGCTGTTTTTCAAAATTTCCATTTTCAACTTTTGTGCTAACTTTCATAACACATTGATAGAATAAACAAAATGCAACACAATCAATCAACTATTTTGGCTTCCTCATTTGGCTTCCTCTACCAGTAATCCTTTTAATAATTTATCCAAAAGCCTTCACTTTTGCGAAGTCGTGAGATACACAAGTGCTTCAAGCAACTTTGGAATCTGAAGTTTCCACAGCTTATGACTTGACGCTGATTTTATTGTATTCCGGATTTTCTGGGCACGGCCTGGGACGAGCTTGGAAAAGAATTAGGTTGATTTTATCCTCAAATATTATACAAATCAAGAGGTAAAGTGATTTCTCAAAGAGAGGAGAAAAAGCTGCATCGAATAGCACCCTGGTAATTTGCCGTTCTTTGTTCTAGGATCGGTAAGCCGAATGTGGACATTGAAAGCATCGGAAAAATTTTTTCAAAAATTTTGAGAAGTCAGCTAAAGATAGACAGAACTTGCGGTGTTGCATTTTTTTATTCTATCGAGCTATCATCAAAGCTAGTACAAAAGTTGAGAATGGAAATTACAAAAAATACCCAGTCAGGATGAGTAGAAACCATGGGCTAGAGGTTCTGGCGATCATTCGATCGAACATCAAAGGAATCTGAACAAATACATAAATGCTAGAAAGAGGAAATTCTGCATCGAGCTAGAGTGTTTAGAGTGTTCTACCATTATTCTATGTGGTTCGAACACTGAAAAACGGCACAAACTTTCGAACCGACCTAATATTTGCGTGAACTTCCTGACACATATAACCCTTATCACAGAAAATTCGCTCGCCTCCGTCAGACAGCTTAGAAACAATGCTTTCCGCAGTGATGAGCTTATTACAGAAGTACTGTCAGCGCAAAGGCTCGTCCACTCTCAGCTCTCATACTCGTGATAGTAGCAACAGGCATCCGAATACCTGCAGCTATGGCTCTGACTGTCACGCATTTTCCGGATTGTCCTGACTTCTTTCGTACCCTGGCAGTGGATGTGCTTCCCTGGGCAAAGGTAAGGATGCAAGTGTCATAATCCAACGCTTATATGTAATTGAGCAAAAGCGATTGTAACAAATCGAACCTCACAATTTTTCCAACATTTTCTATAAATTTCTCCCGTACAAATAGTGTAGAACATTTCAGGAAAGCACAATCTATGCAGCCTTTGATATCTATGGAATGGCATTTCTTCAGACATTTCTTCCATTTATTACTTTATTCTCGCTTAATTTCATCATTATACGAAAACTTTGCATGATGAGCAGCAAAATGCGCAGATCCAGCTTTGCAATGCTTGTGAGGAAATTTTAAAAATTTCCTTCAGTCTTTTCCGTTGTATGTAACCACATTGCAGCCTGGAGTACGACCCTCAATACTCTCATCTTTGAGGCGTTACAAAATGCCTCCAACTGTTCGAAGTGCTGTCTACACCATGGTAAGAATTTATATTCCAGCATTTCGTGACCAGAAAGAAGTAAAACTTTACATATTACAGATGGCAATCGTGTCAACATATCTTGTTTGCAACTCTCTCCATCTCGTACTAACCCTTCTTGAAGTGGGAAACGCATCTATCCTATTTGAGTGAGTTTTCTTCTTTGTCTCTTCTCAGTCAGAGGCAAATAATGACAAAGGGAAAAAGGTATTTGCTTACGATCGCAGTTTCAGATAGTACTAGCTGGCTTGCCCGGCTCCGCTCGGCCCTGTCAAAACACTATGATAAAGCTCTCATGCGTATCCCTGTACAACCTTTCCTTGTGCCCACGTATACATGCCATTTCCCTCTTCCCGCTGTTTTAGTAATCAGCATGCTCAATTATCCCTCTGTGCCAACTCCCAGCCCCGTAGCTCAAACGTTGCAAAAAATCGATAAAATCGATAAAAGTAGCGGATAATTCCAGAAACGAATATTGTATTCGTCATCAGCATCGATTACCCCCTGTGCCAAATCCCAGCCCCGTAGGTGAGCTCTGCAAAAAAAATCGATAAAAATCGATAAAGTCGATATCGATCGATGACGAAAAGTAGCCTCTGACACCCGCCCCGCCCCGAAGTGTCTGTGTGCCAAGTTTGGTCCGGATCGGTTCGGAAATGGAATCTACTCGGAACATACGTACACACAGACTACATACAGACAGACGGACATTCAGCTTTAAATATAAGATCAGATACCCAAAAACTTGCACAAAACTCAAGATTTTTTTGATTCAAGAAAACGTATAAGATTTGATATACATCAAAAAAAAAATTGTATCATGCTTCTTACAGTAAGATTACTTTAGTCTCAGCTTAGCGCAAACTTGTTGTTTCCAAATCAATCAAAAATATAATTACATCAAAGTTGGGGGATTTATGAGAAACTTTTGTTCATGCTTACGGCAAGCTGCTGCTCCTAACAGGTAATGCGCTTCCATTCCAATAGTTCAGCATCACTGTGAAGGAGAAAGTTCATGATGATTTTCCTTTTTCATATCCTGTGTGCTTCCAGTTATGGTCCTCTGATTTCCTCAAATGACTATTTCAGAGAATTTGATTCGTTCCAAGCCTCAACGCTGTATACAACTCTTGGAGACACTGTGAGCATTCTCTACATGACATCGTCAGCCATTCGAATACTGATATACGCAATGTGTAATCCTGCTATACTAAAGCAGTTGTCGAGTAACGAGTTTCTTGAACGGTTTGGACGTCGGAAACAATCCTCGGATGTGATATTGTAGAAGTGAACTATAATAGCAGCCTGTGAAAAATTACATATTATATTATGTTTACTACTGACTATGGAGAGTACAGTGCGCCAATGATGTGGTTCGATAAATTCGCAGTAGCCCGCGAAAATTGCGACCGCAGGCTTTTTGCACCTACATGGCCTTCTGGATCCGCTGAGTCCCAGGCTGTGCTTGAAAAGTCAAAAAAAGTGTTTATTTGGCGTTTTCCGGACTTGGAGATTCGCAGTGGCCGCAGAGGGGGTGGGCGAGCGATTCGCGCCAAAACAGCGACTGGCTGCTGGATACTGTAACTCCACCCATCTTGGCGGCAAATGGTTGATCGGGTCAGCAGCCAATCGCGATTCAGTTGGCGATCACTCGCCCACCCCTCCAGCAATCTCCTAAGAAAACGCCATGAAAAGTACTTTTTTATTTGTATTTTTTTGGCAAAGCCCTGGACTCAACGCATTCAGAAGGTCAGGGAGGATGGAATGATCGTGATCGCAATTTTCCCGAGCCACTGCCTTTGAATAGCTTATTGTACTTATCGTTGTTTAAGATACTTTCCTTGGGCTTCTTAGACCTTAGCTTGTCGTACCTCATGCTTTCAACACATAGCTAATAATAAATATCCTACGTCATCTAACAGAAACCTAATTTACCCTCACGCTGAACACGCAATCCCACTGATATAGACTAGCTCATTAGTTGCTCACTAACTCGTGAAGAGCAACAACACCGCATACAATCTACTCATCCAGTTACAGCTCTACTGTAGATGATTGATTGATACATTGGTACTTACTTCTTTACGTCTCAGGAATCGAGTTTTCTAAATACAAATTCTCCTGTCAATTACATAAATTTGTTTTCTTGGTCAGCTTATAGGCTGTTGCTATCACACATGCATGAGCATAACATTCATATTGATGGTACTTATACTGTAATTTTGGCAAAGAAATGCTTCTATAAGATGGTCTTGTTGGATCACATCATAAACATGAGCTTTGATCGTGACACAGCGCCCAAGTGATGCCCACCCCAAAAAAAGCATTCATTTGCTAACCAGCTTTTTCTGACAGAAACAAAAAATTCATTCTGGTATGGACCTATAACCTGCAGAACTTTAGTCGAAAATTGTCGACATTCTGCAAGAGGAGAGATTTACGAACAGGTGCCTGACTCCTGCACTGCAGTAGTGTTTCTGCGATACAGGTCCATCCACCATAGGTAGTAGCTGAGAATAATTCACAATTAGTTTTCAAAAATCTTCCAAAAAAGTAAAATGTCAACATAAAGTACGTTACTTAATCGGCATTACATGCTCTTGTGAGTGCTCTTGCCCCTGGAAAATTTAGCCTATCTTTTCTTCTCCACCTCCTCTTCTCCCGCCTCACTCTTTGCATATAGTTCCATAAGAATGCTTCCTATAGACCAGTATTTTAATCATCTACGTGGTACCCTTTGCTTCAATCAGATTGGCTGCTGGAAGACGCGGCTTCATGACCTACATATGAAGCAATATTGCTCGTGTCCGCGACACAGTCTGCGCCTCCCTCGCGAACATGCTCTCTGATCATTTTTTAGCCTTCATAGGTCATGGAGCCCCGCCTTCCAGCCGCCGATCTGATTGAAGCAAAGGGTACACAACGTTCGTTCTGTTCATGCGTGCTACTCTTCCAAATTAATGTAAAAGACGCGCAGTGTTAGAAGCTCAAGCGAGGTATATGTATTTACAGCCTGTGTAAGCGAGTACAGCTCGTGCCAATAAGGTCCTTCTTTTCGTGTAGGGACTACGCATACGCAACGCCTGTCTTGCGTGCGAACCTCCATCGATGAAGCTGATTTGAATGCTCAAGCCATACGCGCGCGAATGTATCGCGAAGCTCCGGCGTGGCGATTGCGCTTAAAATGTAGCACATGATTGACACTGAATCATAACTCGAAGTTAAGATTTCGCTGCGAACTCTGTATTTCCTTGCTGATTTGAGAAGGGTTCAGAATGCTCGGTCAAAGAAAAATGTTAGAAATATGGTGTCAGTTTATGGATAAAAGCAGAAATATACATTTTCATTGCAATGTATATATTGTTGGTTAATAGTTGTTCGCAATGACGTGTACGCTTTTTTGTAAGGAAATCAAAATATTGGTAAAGGAACGAATACCGCCGATAGGCGCCGCTTCTGTGGACTTATGGTCCTCTCGCGCATCTGTTGCACGGCGTGTGAAAACTGCTTGTACACGGAGGCGACGCATAGCGGCGGTATTCGTTCCTCTACCACCATAATCTCCAGATCGAGGTGGTGCCTTCGTTATAGTCTTCCATTTGTGAGTCGATAGTGGCTGCTATAGCTTCAAAAGTGGGTCGATCGGCACCATTTTGTTTCCAGCATTCCTTGGATGAAAAAGCAACATCAGACTTGAGCGAAAGCGATTATGCCATTACTTGAGTTAGTGTCCATAAGTACTCAGGATATTTGTCTGACTCATTATTCAGCCTATTTCCAGCGAGCACAAACTTTCTGATTGCAGCTGTGTTCGGGAACTCATCGTATGGAGTCATACCATCGTGAAATACCTGAGAGAATAAACACATACTGTAGTACTCTTCTGACCTCTACTCACCTCCCACATATAAATCCCAAATGTCCACACATCCGTCTTTGTTGTATAGCTACGGGTCTGAAGCGTTTCGGGAGCTAGATATCGCACGGGCACCTAATAAATGAAAATAGTCCATAACCTGCACCAACGGACGAGAACGAAATACTGCATAAAAACCTATTACAGTACTTACCTTCTTCAGCGTCTTTTCTTTCTTTTGAACTCCAAGTACGCTAAGCCCAAAGTCAGATATTTTAGCTGTATGATTTTTGCCAATGAGCGTGTTTCGAGCAGCAATGTCTCTGTGTATGATCTGGAACTCGACAATATCGCACAGTTGTAGTTGAATCTTACATTCTTAAAAAACAGTACAGATAAAGCTGACCCCTTTTCCTGACAGATACGTCAAGCCTAATGCAGCTCCATGACAATATTTTATTCTAATGTATACTGTTGGACCGGGCTTTGATTGAACGGCGTCAAGGACGGAACCTCCTAAACCAAATGATTTCAATCTTACACATTAAAGGCAGTGTTCAGACAATTCCCAGTGCCTCATCTTACATCTGTGGAAGATTGGGGAGTCCTAGCCAAGTCAGTGTCATGCGGCAGCTTGTATAAATCATGTGTAAGAGTGAAAAGGTCTGTAGTCTTCCCAAACCGAGCTCTTTGAGCTGACCAATCAGCGCTTTCGCACACGGTACTTTGATTGGTCTATCAAAGAGTGCTGCTCGGCCATGAATGTATCATAAGAGCTGCATTTCGGGCTACTGCTTAGGTGAGGCTTCACAATGGTTTGGAAGAAGATAGGCTTTCCCTGACACTGTCCGGGAACAGAACAGCCGAATCGAACCTGGAGCGAGTTCCATGACTATCATGACAGGCTCTTCATTCGATGCTACTCCTATCAGAAGTATGACATTCGGGTGCACAAGCGTTTTCATAAGCATTGCCTCCTTGAATTGAGACGTATTAAGTTTGATCTCATAAAGCAACCCTACCTGAAAGAGCTTCTCGTTCTCTTCAGCAGTGATCGATCCATTGATGGTTTTAATGGCCACGTCCTTTCTGTCCATCAACCCACTTCGCAAAATACCCTTGTAGACGTCTCCGAAGGCACCAGATCCTAGCCTTTTGACTCTAAAATACCAATCTCAGCCCAAGAGAAAGCAGTTCGGCTTTGCTTGTACTTGATCAGCTGCTCGTGATTCAGCTGCCAGTCAGCCTTCTTAATCGCTCTTTTGAGTATTGTATTCTCCTCATCAACTGGTATCTTATGACGCTTGTGATACTCAATCAGACCTGAAATGGTGGTCAACTCAAAGATCTCACTGTGTAATAATCAGTCGAATTGCTGTAACATGAGAAGTGTGGGAGTCAGATATCAATAACAGTTCGGCAGTAGAATTTCACATGCGTAAATGCATGCCAGATTGTCGCGAGTTAGAATACGTCAGACTTATCTAAGAATTTCTAGAGTCTAAGAATGGCACAATAGCCGTTCTCTTTGTAAGCAAAAATCTGTCCTCGGAGGCTTTGGTCAAGTAAGCGAAATGCACCATTATCTTATAAAATTCTCTGGGTTCAGGTCCGATAAATTTTCCAACTGCTCCACCGATTTTGGACCAAATATTTAGTAACACATCTACTTGCCAGAAACAAGTGGATGAGGTGCTCACAAATCGCTAAGTATTGAGAATTTTTCTTCCGAAAAATTTCAAGATTCAAAACGATTAGAAATCATAATACCGTAACCAGACCTTAGAGAACTTTTATCGAGCTTACCCGATACAAGCCTGAATCCGTATAATCGCACATAGTAAAGTTTGGCTCTTCTACTATATTTTATGAATATATGTCTCATTTCTTCGTCAGCCCTCTTCTTTTCTGCCTGAAGCATTCACTACCGTTTTGAGCGCCACTCTTCCGCAGTACTTATGCAGCAGTGAAACTTACAGCCATCTCTTCTTCAGTCAAGTTAGTCGGCAGAACTCCTGCACCTTTCTGAAAATGTTGTGATGTTTGAATGTCAACAAATTTCTTGTGCAAACATACATCGATATTCAGAGATGATGGTTTCACTCTGACTGAGATGATGAATTGTTCCTAAACATGCGTGAATGGGCGTTGGTGAAGAAACTCTGGCCAAGAGCTGAACCTACCCCCATAGTCGATTTATGTTCAGCTCTCACAGCTTGTCTTACGAGGAAATCGCCAACTTTCAGTAGAAGTCGACCTGTCTGTATTAAACACGGTAAAAGAAGCTACATACGATACTTTGTCAGTTTTCCGCTTTTTATGAGAACTTTGCCTAGTTCTTCCAGTGAGCTGGCAAGCAGAGAACAAAACTATGCATATGATTGAGGATCTCTTTTCTAGTAACAGTACCAGCCCAAATAATGCTTCAGTTTTTTCTTCTGAGGCACTAGCTGCGACGCTTTACCTTCGCAACTGACATATACTGAAAGTCACTTGAAAACGACTGTCATGCGATTCAGTCAAAAGATCCCAACTACTGTGAGACACTTGTAAAGTCTCACTGCTGCAGCTGCTTGCCAGTAGTTCTAGGCGCAATCTACTTGGCCATCTTTGGACTTGCAAAGACCATCAAATAGTAAACTTACTGGATAACGTCACTCCTACTCTCTATACAACACTGAATCGACCATGCTTCAGTTACGTTGGCTGGGCATTATGCGGATAACTCTTTAAATTTCCGCCTCAGGCCTCGGACAGAGTTCACGCAATTTGATCGTCGCGATTCAATCGCTACAAGACAAGTGTTATGAGTTCATTGCATGCCGATCTTCTTGTATTTCGGTTGTGATAGTTAGTCACGACTGATCGTGTTGGAAAACTATCACAACCGAATTACAAGAAGGTCGGCATGCAATGAACTCGTAACACTTGTCTTTATCTGCTGTCTTCACCCGATTTGATCGTCGCGATTCAATCGCTACAGATAAGGGCAGGCATACTACAAGCGCACTACAGGACGGGCATACTTCACGCGATTTCAGTCACGACGCGATTTGGCAATATTCCAACTGTCCATAACTCACTGTAAGCACATTTGAAATGTACAGAAGATAGGGCATTTCATCAACCCACGTAACTTATACACACTATGCATGCGCAGGTTGGTAGTGTTAGATCTGAAGACTTCTGGCGAACTGCCAAATCGCGTCGCGACTGAAATCGCGTGAAGTATGCCCGGCCCTTTAGGCGAGGAAATAGCCTGATGTATGTCCGGGCTTTTCGGCTCGAATCCCTGAGATTATCAGTATCAAGACTATCACTGTTCAAGTGAATATATCTGCAAAAGGACATTCAGTCAGTGATGGACATACATCGATGAAGGCACGTCGGCTCTTAACAAAGATTACTGAAAGCACGGATGTATCCTGAGCTAAAATGTCGGGATTGACAAGTGTTCGTTGGAAGTAATAGCTGATGAAGACCACTACTGCTTCTAATACTCTTCGAATTCAACTTTGTGACAGCACTGCACAATGCTTCAGTAGCAAACAACAAGTTTGCCAAATAATAAGATACCCTTGCGCTTTCAGGGACCGACCTGTTCTCTGGGCACGAATCCGTGGAAGAAATCCTCGTTCTTCACGCTAGGTAATCCTCCTGCCTCGGAGTCTCTAATTTTCGTAATCTGCTTCTTTTTCTCTTCTTTTGGTGCGCCAGGCTTCGATGCTTTTTCTTTACTTTCAACTGATAAGGAAACCTTTTCACCGCTTTTAACCTGAAAGATATGAATGGCTGGTAGACGAACAGAGCTCCCACACACCTTATCCTGCGACATAAGGGGAGGCAGCCAGTAGTGGTCTGGACATATGAGCCGTAATGTGATTTTGTGCCTTATATAGCACGCTGACGTGATAATCAAAACAGTAAATATTGCTTTGTGTGATTCATTAGTGCTCACTGCGCTGCTCAGACTGAAGGTACTCGTATGATGTGATACGAGGTGCTATGGATTGCTAAAGTATGCATGATATTTTCAGGTCCCTATCAGGCCCAAAATCAGTCTATTTTGACTACGGCTCTTTGAGATATGAGTCTAAGAAGAGTTTTAGAGTATGCCCGTATGCCATTATTCCCCAAAAACTTTGCCTTCCATCGTAACAGCGAAAAGGTTTATATCAAATGTCTGTTCTAGCTGTTATTTATATTTTGTTACTGCTACGTAAACCTAATTCAAACCGCTAGGCTAGAACTCAAAATTGGCCTAAAGTCGGCGTCGCGGTGAGATTGCACAAAGAACCAAGAGCGGTATTAGTATCGCAGAGACTAGATGGATCATGAAGGAAGAGTGGCTATAAAAAAGAGGAAAGAAGTCTGAATCGAGTGATAACTGAGTCGCTTAGCTTTCTGCGTTTGTAAATTTGTGACCGCTTGAATAACCGGACAATTTCGGGGGATGCAGGAGGTAGTGGCTGCCCAAGGAATTTTCCGATCTTCTAGTGAAGGGGGCTAAGCTATCAGTGCTCTGCAGAAAGTTCTTTGGGTATTTCAAGCAGGCCAAGTAACCCCAAGCAAGAACAAATTACTTGCACGACACAAACGAGTCAAGTGGATTCGTTTTCTGTGTCTGTTCGCCAAATTCACACATGTAGCGCCGCTCCTCCGTAAACCTGTGTGCGGGACACCTCGAGACCAAATGGCAGCGTCCCGGCGAAGTGGTAGGTTCTGGAATTGCAGTGGCAGACCTACATCTAATCTATAAGTGAAGTCTGGAGCAAAAAAGCGCTTCTGATTTTTTTAAAAACCTTATCCGGAAGTTTTCCGGAACCCGCCCACTTATATGTATTTTCCACCGGTGCTAAAGAGCTTCGAAAGAAGCTTATTTTCACCATTCTTCATGCGCCGCAAAGCTCAAATATGGATAAAGGCAGTGGCTCGGCAAATCTCAAAATAGTCAATTCTTCGCTTACCTGGGGTTATTCAATACGCTGATCACGAAAATCCACTTTAGAGAGCTCGAAAACGGCGAAAACGAGCGTTTTTCAACCCCCTTCCCTTCAAAACTGGACGAGTGGAGCAAGGCTGATGACGCTGAATCGTGCCGGACCCAATGATTATAGCATTGCGGCGGGCAGCCTCCAATGGTGAGAAGGAAGTTGCCATCTCGTCCAGGTGCTGTAAGATTGGCTTGCGCGTGTAAATTCTCTTCGTGTAAATTCGTGTAAATTCGCGATTCTCTCGACAGGGAAGGCATGCTGTGCAATCGGGATTGCACTATTTTCATACTTGGTCGATAAGGAACCTACAGCGTTAAGATCCTGGGTTGTCAAATTTTGCCTTTAAAGCACCGTCCACCCAAAATTTCGACCTCCATGTTTTTGCCGTTGGGGCCTTCTGATACCCCTAATTCCGAATTTCCGAATTCAAGTCGGAAATCCGCGAAAACCACGAAAAACGCCCTTTTCAGAACTCGCAGAGCGATTTCTTCGGAACGGTGATTGGTTGGGCGCGCACGGATGGGCGGGACGAACGCCCACTCGAAGGGGAGAAGCCAACATGGCGAATCTGTCATCTGAGCGATTTCGAAGCAATTTTCTCTCTTCGGAAGCAACTTTTGCCAGCGCGAGTTGGATAAGTGTACAGTTGGGGGCCCCATTACTCCTAGGCATTAAAATCTCATCGACCCCATTTTGGGTGGACGGTGGCTTTAAGCATGTCGAGAAGGCTCTGACAAGGTGACAAACTGAAAAGCGAAATTTTTCTGGGACGCTGCCTTCTAGGTCCGTTTTTTCTTCAAATGCTAGTCGTCCTGAACATGCTGAATTCAATAACACCACACTAACATATTTACTACAGGTCTTCCACCAAAGATTGAGCATAATACGAAACACCAACATCCAAAATTTAAGAAACCATTTACATAGGAAAGAAAGACGAGAACAAGATTATGATTGCATTTGCATGCGAGGATCACACAACATAAAAATACGACTTAATTGAAAAAATAAACTTGAACATGTAAGTTTCCTCAATAGTTTCAAATATTTGAGTCATTTTACAAAAAGGAGCATTCACTTTCAACCGGTAATGATGATGACCCTAAGTAATCACCAGGAGTCTCTATCCTGCTTCCAGTCAGGAAGGAATCTCGGAGAGCACATGAGTTATGTGCCCACTTTCACCAGCCAAACATCTCAAGCAAGCTTTCCGCGAAGGACGGCTCTTTTTCTCTGGAAAGTAAGCGATTTATCAGAGTGCTATCACAACAAGTGATGAAATTTCCCAAGAAGCGTTCAGCCGGATCCTTGATTCTCATGTTTTTATCATACCGGAGCCTTTTCATGGCCCGAATTCAATATAAAGTGCAAAATGTGTGGAAAATCGGATCGCCCTTTTGAAGGCCTATTTTAGCAAGCGACAAGTATGAGAGCTCCTGGTCCAAGTACGGCACCACATGAAAGTCGGTGTGAGTATCTAATATGTTTGTCACCAAAGTAAGGCCCCGGACAGACTTCAGCGATTTGATCGTCGCGACTCAATCGCCGACATTTCCATTCATTTTCATTTCACATTCAAAAATTTTGGGCTGGAAAAGTATCACTATCGAAATTCAAGTTGATCGGCATGGAATGATGTTGTAACAGTTGTCTCGTCGCGATTCAGTGGCGACGATCAAATCGCGTGAAGTCTGTCCGGGGCCTAACGAAGTCCAGCTACGCCTTCAAATTAATTTTCATTATGCTTTTTAAGGTCATAAAGGCGGCGTCCACCCAAAATCTATTCAGCTAGAGCTAAGCCCTGTAGTAGACCAACCGCATTGGTCTGGACCCTAATGTTGGCCACAAAATGAGATAACGGCCCTAATTTTCTTTGCGCCCCGCCCCCTTTTTGGGCTCCACCCACCCACGGATTACCCGCTGACGAGTACTGACATGACAAGCAACGTCAGGCATAGTTTTTTGTGGCACTGTTGCACACGACGAGGTCCTGTTGTATACGACGTGACCAGCGCACGGGGCACTCGTCCACATCTGCCAAAATAGGGCTTCAGAAAGAGGCAATTTTGGAGCTTTATGGGTGGACCTCTCCGAAATCGGCGCCATGGAAAGGCCCGATTACATCAAAAACATGGAAGAAATAATTTGGGTGGACGTTGCTTATGAGTAAAAAAAATTCCTACTTACTAACTTATTTTGGGAGATTCCAATGACTAATTAGATTTGCTAACAAAGTTCAAATTAACTTTAGTTGCATATTCATCTTCTATTAAAGGCCGCATCAGTGAACAAGAACGCAAATGCTTCAATCCTAGAGCTGCCCCTATACTAAACAACTACCTGGGAAATAAATTCTGGATAGATGCTGCTAGTGAGTTTTGATGCAAAAAAAAATTTGAATGTATGATCGCGAACTGCCTTTGTCAACAACAAGAAGCCGCGTTCTGCTTTGCAGAGATCTTTGGACGGACTTTTACAAATTTCTGCCGCCTCAAAAATAAGTCTTCATATGATTTGAATGTTGGGACACGCTGGATTGGGACACACTGTAGACTTTATGCACTATGGCACGGTGCAGGCGCCGTCATCAAGGAAGCGAATCATAGTCGCCCATAAATTCAGATCAGTGTGCAACAATCCGGATAAAGTCTTCGGAAAACAGCAGATCTGGCAAACTGACTAAAATTAGTTGTATTCCGCTATCATATTCCACTGCTTCTACAACTTCAGAAACTTGATGCTAATAATTAAATGCTGTCATTTGCTGACAGCGATTTGCAGCGCTACCGTTATTAGTACGGCGGTCATGGACGACGCGTATGACATAGCTTTTGTTGCGTCGAGTGAGGTTCAGCTTCCAAAATGGTGTTTACTTAGGATATGTCAAGGGCACAGCTATAAAATTCAAGCTCGTGGTACGAGTTCATATACTAGCAGGAAGTATGTTAACAGGCCTTTCTCTTCCTTTGCTTTGCTCATGGTTTTGGTCCGCAAAGATCCACACTAGTAAGCATTCTTGCTTGTAGAAGCTATTCTGCACAATTGCCTCAATTCTATTTTTAGAGATTTTTTGCGAATGACGGGTATATTTTGAGTAAAGGACATTGCGGTTGTAGTAAAAAATTAGACGATGCTGATTAATTTTTGTTCTAGAGGCTGAGATTTGGTACAGGGAGCTAAATGACGGCTGTATAAATAAAATTCTGCTCATCGATTTTACCGATTTCTGGAAAATCTTGAGCTACAAGGCTGGGAATTGGTAGGGGGGGGGTGGGGTAAGTGAAGGTGTTGATAAAAGAAAAAATTTACTACAAAAAATTTACTACATTGATTTTACTTTGAGCTACAAGGCTGAGAGTTGGTACAGGAGAGGGATGAGGGTGCTGATTATGAATAGAAATTTACTATATTGAATCTACTGATTTTTGGAAAGCTTGAGCTATGGGGCTGAGAGTTGGAATAGTGGGTGCGAGAGTGCTGATTATGAATAAATCGGCTTTAACCGGGCATGTCAGCAGGCTTTACATATGGTTGCTCTAATTATTCGTAAATCATTCGAATATTTATTCGAAATTCGCCCCCCAACGTTAGAATATAATCGATATTCATTCATTCGATACTTGTAATTACCCGATTTTATTCAGGACTCATTCGAAAATTTACAATTCTCGAATTCATTCGATATTCGTTTATTCGAGATTCTCTATTTGCGAATTTTTTCGATATTCGTTTATTCAAAAATTTTCATTCTCGAATTTATTCGATATCCATTCATTCGATGAAAATTTCGATCTTTTCGATCTCCAAATATAATACGCAGGCCGCCACAGTGAAAATGTAGGGTCCTGCAGTGTCTGCGTGTCAGCCTTGCCGTCCAAGTTCGAATTGTAAGGCTTTGAGAAACGCATATCCTTGCCGTTTTCGCGACTTTTTATGTGAATTTTCGAATCCAGCATTGCGGATAATCCCAGGCAAGTGAATTTTCTAGAAATCGAGGTCTTGCCCGAGCACTACCTTTAACAGCGAAACTTATGCAGCACGCGCGAAAGATTCTCCCGACTGGCACCGATTTAAGACTAAAATGACTCAAATTTTACCTCGTGGATGATATTCCAAATCACCCTTGTGCGCTAAATCCTCCACGGTTTCTTCTACTGCAGGTCTTTTGCGTGAAACAAATCTTCGAATGTCTTCGAACATATTCGCTTCAGCGGCAAACTCTTTTCCCAGCTGAAATTGTTCACATTAGATTTCACGAAAGAAAGCTACAAAATTGTCCACATGTCCACATTTATAACACGATCCATCATACTCGCGCACGGAAATGTCTAATGCCCTGGGCATACCTCGCGCGATTTCAGACGCGACGCGAATTGCTAATACTCCACTTGCTTACAACTCGTCGCAAGCTCAATATGAGCACACAGAAAATAACACATTTTATCGACTCACAAAAGTTGGATACACCAAGCATTTTGGTCTGCGAGTGTAGGGTTTGAAGATACCTGGCAAATGGCCAAATCGCGTGGCGACAGAAATCGCGAGAGGTATGCCCAAGGCCTGACGCACTGCACTGGTAGAGAGAAGAGAGAGAAGGACGGGAGGGGGGGGGGGGGAGGGGGAGAGGGAGGATATTCACACGTATCCCACTCGATAGCTCTTCTTGGATACGATTTTTTTTTGATGTGAAAGACTGGCAAGCTATGTGAAAAACCGGACGCACTGACCAATGCCTCTCAGCTGGAATCAACTCCCCCTTCATCCGGTCCAAGAAAACAAGCAAAACTCTCAGGAAATATTAGGCGATGACCGTCTTTGTGCGAAGCACAAAGCCTTAGGTCATACTTCACGCAATCTCAGTGGCGACGCGATTTGGCAACACCTCATTTATCCATAATTTATCATGCGCGCACTCTGAATGTGCAGAGGTAGGGCATTCTATCAGACTATGAAAGTTGTACGAACTATGCACTTGCAGCGTGCCAGTGTTGATTTTGAAGACATCTGGCGGCTTCCCAGATCGCGTGGCGAATGAAATCGCGTGAGTTATGACCAAGCCTAAGACGTATATTTAGCGTAGTTCCCATATCGTGGAAGTACAAGAGAAAATTGAACGTTGTCTGTGCAACCCAACTGGGGAAACTGCTAAGCAGCAGTGACTGTGTCTATTTTTTGTTGCAATAATGATGGTAAACGTAAAAAGACCAAAGCACAAGAGCCACGAACAATCTAAATGGTGTTCTTGTGAACTCCATAAACTCGCTATGAATCGAAAACAAACGATAACGAAAATAATTACTAAGGTACACACGAACGAAAAGATAAGAAATGTGGCTTTGTCACCCAGAATTGGAGACCGTGCACGAGACAAGGACAAATAATACTTTATCTGCAGTCCAGCAAGAACGTGGTACTAAAATGGAATTTAGTGACGTCGAAATAATTATCGGGGATAATATAAGCGAAATTTTTGGCACAAACAGAATCAAGAAACAATGTGGTCAAAAGGCATGAAAAATATGGCACATCAAACATCAGAAGTGAAATTATATATACTTCGTACATCGAATCAAGAATATTATGTAAGAAATGCGTATTATTATGCTAAGTAGACAGCTCTGTGTATTAAATCCTATAAACTCGGTTCAGAACCTCAAGCGACCCGGGCTCGATAAGACAACGGTAAGAAACATCACAACATTATCAAAGGCGTTGTGAGAGTAAAATAACGGTGTTATTTTTATGGGTGTTTCGACCATGAATCTACAATGGCTACAAAATGCAAGATAAAATTCGAGAACAGTTGCATGAACATTACTATGTTGGAATGCCTAAACAAGAGAGGTATACTGGAGGAAAAACTAGAATAGAAACGAAAACGCAAAGAGGCGACTTTCTGCAGCTGATAGAACAAAGACAAGAACTTACCTCGATCTCACTTACATTTGCATTATCAATCTTATTTGAAAAAATAGGTCCAAGTAAACCATAGGTAGATTGAGAAAAACCTTAGAGCTCCATATGCCTGGTTTTGGCCTCGAGATATTTCTCCATTTTTCGTAGTTTCCTGTCCATTTTTTCGTGTTTAGCCTCCAATTCAACATCTTCAACTGTATGGAGTAGCATTTTTCCCCGTTTTGCTCGTTCAGCACGACGAGCATCTAATTCTTGCTGCAAGATTGTTCCATTGTATTGACGAGTGATATCACATAGGATGTATTCAATCTAAACTACTCACTTTATGAAATGCCATCTTTTTGAGTTGTTTGTCAAAATGCATTAATTCGTCTTTCATGATGTTGAGATCATTCTCAGAGAAGTTGCCATTAGTCTGCGCCTGAAACATATTCATGGCATCGCTCTAGAGGCTGATGAACAAATTACCGCTTTCCACAGCCGTCTAACACGCTCATTTTCAAAAAGAGTGGTTTTATCGTCTTGTAGTTTCTCAGTCAGCTGCTCAATATGCTCGGACATCTCGTGGTATGCTTTCTTGAGACGACTTTTCTGGAAAGAAAAAAGGATTATAAGCAGTGGTATCAACGCAGAGTACTACCTTGTCTTCTATCGATGCAGTTTCATCATGCAAAATGGAATTCTCGAGAGGAATCTTTAATGAAATATATGAAATCTCACAAATAAAAATTTGAACAACCTTATTTGTCTCTTGCAAAATGTCCTTGTAAATCCTGGTTTTTCTTTCAGCATCTTTCAGCTCTTTGTGAAGGGCTAAAAACAGCTTCAGGGCGTCAACTATATAAGTGGTTTTTTAAGTAAAAACGTGGACTGAATAGAACTCGTATGCGCAGACACTGCGAGATCGAAAATCACGCCAACCAACTTCTTAATTCGTCTTCAGAGAACATTCCCTTCTTTGCTTTTTCCCATAGTTTCTGGAGTCTTCCATCCTCGAAACTTTCCAGCTCAGCGTTCCACTCCGTTGAATGCATAGGCTCGTTTTTATGCTTCATTTTCTAGAACAAAAGTTTCTTCATGATGAACAACTATTCCTCTTCATTAGATGTTGGGTGATAGAAACTTGAGCGAACTTGCGATGGACCCATTCGCATACACTCATCTCAATCCCGATTATTGCTATCGTGCAGAATATATATGATAGCCGTTTTACAAATAACCCCTTTGAACAAATTTCAGCCACGTTTGAACCGTAACCGTAGCCCTCCGTAACCGCACAAAATGACATTTTCGTGCAAAAAGTGTCAATCTTCCAGCGTGATTCCCCTTTGAGGAAAATTTGAGCAGAATCCACGTCCTTAAAATTTTGGAACCCAAATGGCGTTGAAATCTACCAAAACATCAACACCGAAACGAGTTTAGTGGGAAAGCTCACATGGAAAGGCCAAGAATTGTCATCCATCTGAATACTGCTTTCAAAGCAATTAATCGTAAGTTACTGACATCAGTCGTTAATTTTTGAAGACTACTGAATGAAGCGTCAAAAAATAAGGTTAATGAAAACAAAATAGAATAATTGATAAATTGAACAATAAATATAGAATTAATATGAACAAAACTTACTTCTTTGAATGCATGTATCGCTTGTTGCAGATCATATTTTTCCAGAAGCAGCGCCAGCTTATTGTCAATTTCACCCATTTGATTTGAGTATTCGCTTGGGCTACGCGATTTATAAGCATTCTTTGTGTCCATATATACTTTATCATATGTGTGTAGATCATTCTGCAAATGTTTGTATTACCTTTATGAATGCTGGAAACTCTTCACACCCCAAAAAATAGAAAAATGATCCAAAAATGTGCCAGTAAAAGGATACCTCTAGCCTTTGCAAGCGCTGACGATCTGCAATATGCTGCAGCGCTTTTTCATAAATATAGTTGATTTTTTCCGAACGGAATGTAAGCGAGGAAGATAGTCGCACCTCGATCGTTAATCCGACGAGAAGTGCCAAATACAGGCACAACATCTAAGCGATTGATAAAATGAAGTTTGGAGATCATATATCAATTTTTAATAAACAAAGCGCTCAAGCCACATGGTATATAACCAGCCTCAATACATAAAAGAATTATAAATTGATTTTCCAAATGCGTTTGGATCTGTCAATTGATGCAAACCCCACCTTCGTTAAAATACATAATAAAATCCAATACCCAACAAGAAAAAGCACTTCAGAGGGTCAAGTAATTCTGCTGGTTCATATGAACTTCTCCAAACCTTTGGGTGAGGCTGAGATGCAGAAAGAATATTTTTTTACTCAAATCTTCCCGAGTTCTTCACACATGTCACTCTTGATTAAGAAATCTTGATAAATACTACAAAAGACTAAACCGGAATGAGGGCATGAAATAGTTGATAAGCTGATGACTACAGGGGACACAAATATTGTACAATTTTGGACCATCATTGCGGTTGCTGACTTCATCATTCGATGACTTCATCTTCACATGCTAAAAGTCACTCATCGCTGGAATTACAGTAGGATTACGGTAGATGGAATTACGGTAGGATTACCGCAGGGGGTCAAAGCCAGATCTGCTCCAAACTTCATCTAGAGGGTTATTTGGCGCTGAACATGAAATTATATCCGTTTCGTACGGTAGCGTCATTTTTGGAGTAACGGTGAGGATACGGTAAATAGCTAAAAATTCCGAATCTGCTCAAAACTTTGCCTGAAGGGGTTCTTAAGGCTGCGTTCATTCCGATTCGGAAGTTCGAAAACAGTTACAGCACAGCGCTCGAATTCGCTGTGCTGGGACTGTTCCCGAACTTCCGGATCAGTATGAGCGCAGCCTAAGCATGCTGATTGAAAGATCATGCTCGTTCTTTGCAACAATGCCTTACTGTTAGAGCTACGATGAGCTACAGTACGTGAAAGGGCAACTTTTCTGCTTTTCAGCAATTCAGGTTCCAAAAATCCTCGAAAAGGCTCTATCATGCGAGACGACTGCGATATACGTATCAGCACGTCAGACCACACCCCTGAGTTCGAGCAGATCTATCACTTTAGTCACCTATATACTGACCTATCGTAAGTCCGCGAAAAAGTTTCACGCTGGAAGAGTGGAAATTAAATTTCATAAATTAATCAAACATATATTACAAATACGAAAATTTGGAGTTAAACACCCCCACTCCTCGGAAAAATATGGCTTTTTCAATAGGCTCATTCATATCAAAATAGCCGTCAAATTACATGTGCTAGTAGAAGTGCAGTTACGGAACGGGCCTACAAGCTGCAAAACAAAAAAAACTCGGATTTCTGTGTTGGAAGAAACTGTCATTTGGGGGCTTTCAGGGGAAAGGGGAAGAGGTTGTTCTTTCGTCATTCGACTCGTGCCTGACCTCTTGCTTAACTCTGGTTATGTTTGTATATAACATGATCTAGTTGAACAGTAAATGAAACATGACAAAGCATGAAGAAGACGATTGCAAAAGTAAAAAGATGGTATATATAGTCTTCAAATTGTGCAAATACACATAATCTTCAAATTGTGCAAATACACAAGGGTACTCTTGAGGCGAGGCTACTGTAAACGGGACTGCATTGGTAATCACGCTGATGCTAGTTATACACTTCGCACCAAATAAAATAAGACTGATGTCTGAAGAAGAACAGGCGTTGCTAGGATTAAGAGAAGGTGCGCAGTGCGCATAATTGATTTTGCTGTCCTTCAAAAATACTTGAAATAACGCGGAATTTATTAACGCGCATTTTTTCACATGAAGGCGAGCTGTAGTGCGAACTCTGCGAAGGCAACAAAGTGGATTGCAAGCGTCGCGGCGTTGCAATCATCCTGTAAGCCTCTCTAATGGTTAAAGTGCACGATGGGCAGTTTAATTCTGGGGGAAAAAGAGAGAAGGAACGACACGACGATAAAAGATAGGGGAATCATTCGAGACAGCGGTGACGGCCGCAGAGCGCAGGGACGAAGGGGGACGCGCGGACGCAGAGGCAGCCGACATCGGCTGGCCGTCGGTTCATCTCCTCATCGTTTCTGCGAAGGGTTGTCTGTTTGCCGAGTTGTCGGGTTATTACTCATTGTTGATTTCTTTTTCTGATGAATAATTTATCTTCCATCATGAGTAAATTCGAGTGTAGGTGGAGGCGTAAAGAATTTGTTGGGCCTTTTTCAAAAATCGTGGAAAATAAGCAGAAACCATTGTCCGTCGGAATCCGGCGCTGACCTTAGCTACAGTATATAGCTAACGCGACCATAAAAGGCGACCTGGCTGCCTCTTACTTTTTCATTGATCTTACTTACCACAGGATAAAGTAGTCCTGCATTTGATATGATGTGTTGTTTATTCTCTGGGTCGTATATATAACTAATCATTTCGCTTCCATATTCAAGTAATGAATGGGGACCTGAGTTTGCTAACAACTGATGTTGATGGATGGCGTAGAAGTATCACTTACGAAATCTTTTTGTTGTTAAGAATTTCAAAACAAGACTGTCACTGGTAGGGATGACTTCATCTCCCTGAACAATGTACACGTTTTGAGAAGCAGAGGTTCTTCTATCTTCATCAAATAAAGCCCTTTTATATTCTGGCGAAGAGTTATTGAGATAACTCGATAATGATAAATCCCATGAGATATCCTAAAGAAACATTAGTTCCTTAGTATCTGCACGTTATGGTATTAGTGAGTATCCAACATGAGGAGAATTTCCAGTATCATAGCAAGATCAGAGAGTAAACAAGACAAATGATAGTTTCAGGATCATTTAATGATGTGGTAAGTAAAATTTGTATGTATTAAGTAAGATTCATAGCCAAAGGAAAGATAAGAAGCAGCTGGGTCGCCATTTATGGTCGCGTTAGCTATATACTGTAGCTAAGGTCAGCGCCGGATTCCGACGGATAATGGTTTCTAAAATAAGCTAAAGACTAGGCGAAGATAACGTTTCCCTTTCAAATTTTCTTTCCTTCGAAAGCGCTTTGACACGGATCAGAATTTTCTCTTTTTCACGTTATGACTCACCTTCGACAAAATGCTTGGATAAACCGGCGCGCTAATTTCCGTGAATGATAGCTTTGTTGATTCACATGCTTAGTTGATAGTGTCAATTGATACTTAACATTGCAAATGAGAAGCTATGCTTACTTGGGTAAACCTTCTAGATGCGTTTCCTTTTTCCACTTCATGGTTGGCTTTTTCCACTTCACCAGTGTTTAAGCTTCTTATCAGCGCGTCACCACAAGTGTCAATCAGCGTTAATCTTCCCTCGTGTTAATTGGTACTTGCTTGAATTTTGTATCATTTGAAATGGAGAGAATGGATGAAGACTGACTCATTAGGCAAAAATGGCCCTTGGGTTCTTTTTTGCTTTCTAATACCTATAATGTTACTAGGACGGGGTTACGGAAGAGCATTTCATCGTATTAAATGTGAAGGTTACAAAATCACGAAACGTCAGTGAAAACGGGCATTTGGAGAATAAAAATTAAGGAGAAAATAATAGGTGAAAGCTTATGACCTCTTAAAAGTATTTTTAGTTCCTGATCTTCTTCTTACATGGTTTTATTAACATACTCTCCTGCTGTGTTGCATTCAATGTCGATGACCTTTGCCCATCACTAAGGCACACTCTTCAGACGGAGCGAATGCAGAGCGTAATCGTTCTTCGTCAATAACAGCTTCAAACTTTTTAGCTTTTCTACGCTTGCGTACGCAGCGACAAGTGCAAAACGATGTTTATGAACCACTTACCATTCTGCCTTGGTTGATGGGGTCGTCAAAGTTGATGCGCGGAGTATTTTCTCGTGCAGCAATGTTTGCCTACTCTTGAGTCATATAACGTCTGTAAACCGCAGTTCTTGGTTGCGTTACCTTAGAGAGCGACGACTTTTCAAGAAACTCTCTTCTTGCCTATCACAAGCTCAACTTCGTTGTTGGGAACTCACCCAATGGAAGGTATGCTTTGGGAGGATCGCGCTCGATTCATCATTGTTTTTCTCGCTTTGTGAACCTACGTAGTTGTGGGTGAATTCAAGATTGCCATACCTGATCATATTTTAAATCGGCATTTGTGCCTTCTTATGAGTATTTCAAAGAAGCACACAGCTTTTCTTGCTCATATTTGTTGTTTACGCATTCAACCTAATGTGAGACCTTTGATGGAATATGATGGCTAACTCACCAGCATACTTTTCAGGACTGAGATGGCCTCTGTCATTCGCCGAATAAGGCGAACTAATAAGAAGGCCGCTAAGTACCGTTTTACGGCTACTTTAGAAGAGCTACTTCTGGTCGGTTCAGAAAAGTGGAAACCAAGCACAGTCATCGTTTCGTTTCTACATAGGTATGTGTTCAATCTCTTGTGTGATTTTTCGATGTTTTGAGAATGATTAGTACTATAACATTGTAATTCTTTTACTTGCTTTGTTGCATGTCTATTTTGAGCCAAATTTGCTAAACACATGCTTAAAGGCATCGTCCACCCAAAATGGGGTCTATGAGATTTTGATGCCTAACCGTAGTGGTTCCCGCAACTGTATACTTATAGAACTCGCGCTGGCAAAAGTTGCTTCCGAAGCGAGAAAATTGCTTCGAAAATCGCTCGAATTTCAGTCGCCATGTTGGCTCCTCCCCATTGAGTGGGCGTGACATTTGTCCCGCCCATCCATGCGCGCCCAATCAATCACCGTTTCGAAGAAATTTGCTCTGCGTGTTCTGAGAACGGGGGTTTTTCGTGGTTTTTGCGGATTTCCGACTTTATATTCGGAATCAGGGGTATGAGAAGGCTCTGGAACGGAAAAAACGTGGAGGGAAATTTTAAGTGGACGGTTCCTTTAAACTATATCTGGAAATCTACGAGCTGATGTATAGCGCTTTACTAGCTTGAGCGTATTAATGCTCGGGACTGCAATTTTCACACAAAGCTTTTTGTTATATTGGCTGAAGTTGTTGTCGAAATACGCAGCAGTTTAGTACTATTTGTCAAATCGTATCGTAAACTAAGAAATTTACATTATTAGAATTGCTAATATCCAGCTGTACGACGTTACGCTGAGAATCTATTATTCAGCGTTGTAGTCGTGATCATTCGTTGGCGACAAACCTTTGAACTATCATTTCTCTGCAGTAGTTAGATACTTTTGTTATAATAAATAATCAGCATATGTTCTTTTTGTATAACTTCTCAATTGTTTCTTTTTTTTGCATTTTTTCTTATGCTTTTCTGCAGGCGGAGGAAGATCAGCTCGAAAGAAAGGAAATGGGAGGAGTCCTTTTCAAACCCAGATCAGACAGTGATTATGTGGCCAGAGCAAGCCCCGGAACATATTGATATTTTGACTACGTTGTATAAGTCTCAACACGATGATCAGTATGATGACAAAGTCAGTTGATTTTATCCTTTCCCGCAAATTTGCTTTTGTTTCACATATGTTCTCTCGAATCTGTATTGCTCTGAAGTCGTTCTCATGAGTGATGGACACCAACGTGTCTTGCACCTGTTGTGTGCAGTCAATTTTCTTCGGCGGATTCCTTTCGAATCAAACAGTTTTCAAGGAATGGACGATCGTTGTCGAAGAAGTTACGGCGAAAGGAAGGAGGAAACCCATTGCAGCGGTGCCGTTGAATGTGCGTCTCTTCATCATGGATCATCCTGATCAAAGATCTGAACTCAAACTGAAGCTCAGACCGCTAACATCTCAGCTAAAGCAATGCAATTTAGTACTGTTACTCTCAAGCCACTTGCTGAAGGAGGGACTGTAAGTGGATCTCATTTTCTATATTACTATAATATTCCCTGCAGATTTGCACGCTAGCATAGTGGCTTCTTTATTTGTGCTTTTTTGACGTTATTTCACAATAGGTATTGACAACAACCTTTATAATAGACCCTGATAACCACTTTAACTGTTTATTCATTAAAGTTGGTATCTACGTTGCTTATCCTTTTAAGGAACGACGACGTGAGCCTTGCCTCAACAGCCTCTCATGCAGAGCGCTCATCTCGCGAACAAAGCGTATGCGATGTCGCAAGTCCTCATCATGTCGAAGAGAGTGGAGACCAAGGTATTTCACACTTTATCGATTTTTACTGTTGCGTCTCACGGCATGTTTCGAGAGAAAAATGAGTTCCGAGAGAAAAATGATCCTCATTTGGGTAAACCTGAGATGGTTTGTAAACTACTCAGGGATTTTTCCCATTTAGGGACTTAGAGTTTTTATTCACAACTCTCCTTATATAACTGTACTCTTTGACTTTTTGATTTCAGTATGAAAGCTTAGACATATTGTCATCATGTAATCCGCTTTTAAAATTGTAGAGAACGTAGAAATCGTGCCTATTATTGTTTTGGATCTATACCTGAATCTGAATGTTAGTAGAGCAACGTTTTTTCCCAGTGGTCTAGTTGTACAAACAGTTCAAATCTTGCTGATCTTCAAAATCCACTGTTTCAGCCGATGCGAAGCAGGAGCTCGTCCAAATTGCTGGCAAAATCCAAAACCAGTCATGGTCGGCTGTCCCAAAGGAAGATGTTGAAACTGAATCAAACGCTCGTGAGAATGCGAAAGTACAACTTGACTCACAACCTTCTTTGAAAATTTCGTCAATTACCAAGAACGAAGTTTTGACAGAAGATCAAAATGCTGCCAAGGCAGAGGTAATAGGTATGTAGAGATCACTGATGAATGCAGTGGAACACTTGTTATTGATGTTTTTTTTTGAGAACCAGAAACGAAGGCTACAGCAACAGAAAACATCAGGCCTCACTGGCGTTTACCCGCTGAGGAAAGACCGTTGTCCAAGGAGCGAGATACCTCAATCAACCCACCTACAGAAACCTTCTTCAAGGTAAGTTTTTCGGACCTCATGCTCAATACACAATCTAGTCTTTCGACAGGTTGACGAGAAATCTCAACCCGTGGTTATACCCCATCCACCAGAACTTGTGGCGCAAACTGCATCGCCTAGGATGAGGTTTTCTTTAGGCACTGTTTTTGTTCGCGGATTCTCAACCCTTTCTCTAGGACGCATTCTCCACGGGCTCCTTCACGGGAACGAGCTCCAGAAAAGCTCGAAGGCGAAGCGCTGTTGGCTTGGGCTCAGCGAGTAACTAACGGCTATCACGGTGTAAAAGTGAACGATTTTACGTATGTTGACTTTTTCATTATGCAAGCGATCAATGCATTTCTTGTGTTTTTTGTAGAAAGCTCAAAATTTTTGCAGAAAATCGTGGCGAAGTGGGTTGGCTCTCAACGCACTTTTGCATTCTTATCGCCCTGATCTTGCTGGTGATTATGATGCATTGGACTTTTCAGAAACTATGAATGGGAGAAAGTCCAATGTTAAAAAGGTCTCTTACTAGATTTTTGAAATGCGTTTACTGAAAGCATTATATCTCGTTAATGTAGGCCTTGGCTGTGGCGCGAGCTATTGGAATTAGTGATATACCAGATGAAAATGACATCATCACTCCGGACAGCAAAACAATACGACTTCTGCTAGAAAGGCAGGTTAAAGGAATTTTATCAAACCTTCATCAATACAAGTTTACTGAGGAATTATCGCAAAATGGTCAAAGTATTCAAAAAAACTCATTAATATATCTGACAACGCAAATGGTACCATCTCTTGGCTTTTAGCATCAGCGTTTTATTACCAGCGGGGTGTAGGCAAATTCTGGAACTTCGTGCGTAGTTTACAAACATTTGCACCAGCTTACAGTTTTCTTCAAGGTCACTCTAGTATCTTTGTAACATTTTTTTAGGCTTCGCCGCGTACTCGAAGGTAATACTGACTTACCAACACCAACATCATCCTCTGACCATAGAATTTCGCAGTTATATCATATCTCAGAAGCGGAGAAAAAAGTATGTTTCTAGGCTGTCGGTCTGTATCTGGTTTATGAGATTTAGGTTATTGATGAAATTAACAAGATCAAGGAGCAACGCGAAGCAGACTCCGCCGTCGATTACTCACATGTTAATGTGAGTTCATTCTTTATCGAGAATGTGTGATTTTTCTTCAACTCTTGCAACCTGGTACTGATAGTTGATGTTGATTTCAGGACGAAACTGATGGTCATGATGCAGCAAAAGATTCTACGCCCGTCGCACATGAAGCTCAAGTCAGTTCCATCTTTATTTTCTCTGATTGTGTGTATCCATATGCTTAGGTAAATGCGAATGCTAATCAAAATGGTGGTGGGTACGAGGATCCAGATAGCGAACTTGAAAGAGATGTGTAAGTATCTCTTGCGCGACGTAGATTCAACCGTCGATGGTTACCAACTGTCTTTCTCTGAAGCATAATCATTCATGTTCTTAATGAATGAAACAAAGAAAGACTTCCAGGTCCTTCAGAGACCACGATGTCTCCGTCACTATGGTCACCCCTCTTCCAACATTCTCGTCTTCGGTTAGTTTTTTTTTGCATCATTACTGTCAAGGAGTTTTTGTAATTATCTTTGTTTCAATGAGAAATTTTAACAAATAAAATATTAAGGGTCGAGCTACGAGTCCATCGAAAAAAGAAGAGCTGCGAAAGAAGGCACGTCAAATGCTCGAGAATCCTTCAGCTGCTGTCTCGGCGATGAAAGCTGTAATTTCTTATTTCTTGCAAAATTCACGCAACAAAAGCATTCGTTACAGCGATCAAGTGATGACAACAAACGCCGCGAAGAAGCTCGTCGCCTCATCGAAGATGCTGTAACAGATGGTGCAACCTACGTTGTTGGTCCAGGTTCGTTGATCCAGTGTATCTGACATCAGACTTACAAATAATTGCATGCTGTATGCGAGACGCTTTTTGTGATTTGTGCATTGTTGTTGTTTGTTGTTGCTGGTTGTTGTGATTGCTACTCTCAAGCGAGTATTGTTAGTCGAAGCATCAACGTCGATGACAACTTCATGGAGCTCCAAGTCGCGTTCGCCTCTAAATGGATCAAGCTCAGATCTGCGGAAAATTGGTCGGTTCTATGGGCATTTTATGTTTTGAAAGAGAGGAATTACGATCTTCTCACTTCTTAATCCACCTTTATTTTCCTTTCTTGCTATTCGTGAGAGTGTGGCAAACACCTAGAACGTAGCTGTCGGATTGAGAGTATATCTTCAATGTTTTGTCGTGAAAGCTGCACTCACATGGGTAGCAAAGTGGGACGAGATTACGCGAGATTAGCTTGCCTGATAGGGCCTAGATTGCCGTGTGCTCAGCCTAACTGAAACAGTGGAGATTATTCAATTACGGTTGCAAAAATTCCACGCGTAGTAGTATTCATTCTCGCTCAGAGATATTATTATTCACGCTCTCTTAGCTTATCGATGAATTTTCTTCGTTGTGAGTGTGTCTAATTTTAGAATTAGTACGACCATCGATTGCTATCCATACATTCAACAAACGTGATCCATCGCCTGTCCTGAAGCGGAAACAATGTCAGCATGCGGTTTTGTTGTGATTTAGTGATTCGCACCTTTGTTCTTCAAACGTCTCTAAACTCTTGTGCAATCGTTTCGCCTTCAATCATGTGTGGATGATTTTAGATGATGCTACACCAGTGATACCGGGAATGGGTCGGCCGACGCAAATGATGAACGACCGTTTAAAGGTTTGTTTTCTTTTTGTTATCGTTTTGTTTGGATTGCGGTGTTCGTGCTCACGATATATGGCTGCCCAGACATACTTTCCTATGAAATATCGAACGTTTGGGCGTAGGGAATTATCGTGAGACTTGAGAAACGACCATTCTTGTGAACATTGAACTTTTTTACCGACTCGACATAGACCGCTAATCTGTTTGGTTCGTTTTTGTTTTATCTTTCAAAGTGCCTTAATGCTCTCTTTGTGTGGAAAAACACCCAAAGCTTCCCACCTTCTAACATCTTTTGTGTTTGTGTAAGTTCGTGATGCATGTCGATCGTGCAGGATGCTTTTTATCTCAACAGAATTTTCACCCGGTATTCAAAGACTAGCCTGTGGAGCACGGCTAGTCTATCGGCTGTGCTACATCAACAAGTCTTACATGCTCTTCAAAGTAATGACGTGCCGCAGATTGACTGAAAATGAATACTATGGCTTTTGGTAACGCTTCGTGTTGTGTTTGTAGTCTCGTGGCACAACGTCATCGGCCTTCGACAGAGTGAAACGATTTGGAAGCATGAGAAGTCAGGAACTGAAAGAGGCCATGGCACAGCTGGCCAAACAATATGGGGTAAGTACCATTTTGGATGACTTCCTTGTGCCGGTATTCTGTAACAGCTTTCTACCTATCACAGTTAACATTTACGCGTAAATAGCTTCACAACAAGCGATCTCACGATTCACGTTATCCAATCCTTATCTGTTTATGCTTTCTAAACTCAAGCAGGTTCTTTAAAGCGTGCATTAGCGACACTTTGTCATGGTACTTTTTTCATGCCTGCTGCGCTTTTTCTCAGAGGTTTAGTAAAGAACATTGATGTGCTTCGTGTTTTTTTTTTTCGTTTGAAACCTACTAGATTGTATGAAGAGCGGTGCGGTCAACCATTTATATTGTTCAAACCCTGGCTTTCTGCTAACACATTATGAGTAGTGACAGAGTATGTACGATGATCTGGACTCAGGACTTACGAGACATGTTGTAGTGATTGCGAAGCAGGATAAACACTTGGGGCCGTTGGAAGTTGGTCAGCGAGTTAAAAGCAATGTTATTCTCAATTTTTTATCCTCAATTTTTCTTTCGAAGTGACATGATGATGCTGATTAGTTACCCGTGGCTGACGATTACCCAAGCTTCTTCTTTGCAAAGCTCGTTAAGAAAGGATCAGAGAGTAAAATTCAGCTAATGCAAGATTAAGACTTTCCTGCACTTTCTGTACACTCGTGAGCTATTTGCTAGCTTTCTGAAGCGATATAATGGTCTCCTTTTTGTTGCAGCGAATCAGAGAGTAAAGCTCAATAATTTCGAGACTCTACCACTCCTCTCCTGCCATTTATTGCGTAAAGATCCAAATTAAGAAAATGTCATAGTCCCTCCATGTTAAACTTCCCGAATAAAATCTCGCAAATATACTGACCACAAAAACTTCAAAACTTTTACTGTGTAGAAAGGAAGAAGTGTCTTGAACATTCAGTTTTGTGAGTATCTGGGGTACATAACGTTTTGATTTTGATACTCGGCAATCTGTACGCGTGGAGGTTTTAGAGAATATATATGCAGTGTTTTGGGGACAAATTTAAATTCATTAAGATCTAATGTTTTGCAATGCTCGCTGATTCATTGCTGGAGAAGATTGCTAGAAAGAAGATAAGGATAGAATGAGTCTTGAGACCTCCGAAGAAGTTTCGAGGTCGTGGGGAGGGGGAGAGGGGCGGGAGAGGTTTCTTTCAGCGAAGGCCATCTTTCCAAACATTAAGGCTCTACCAAGCATGATTATTAACATATTCGTATTTATTATGTCAAATGTCCCTGTGGGCCAAGTTTCAGGAGCCACCCAAGTGATGTTTTTTTTTTTCAAACATGGTTAACTATATCTAAAAAGTGTATCAATAAACAGCTACTCCCTATTTGCCGATATCATGAATCCTGCTGTAATAACCATCAAACTATGGGATTAGGAGCCAGCCAAAATATCATTTGCCCCATTCTGAGCTTACAGTGGTTCTGCTTCCAGCAACTATCGCGGAAACGAAAGAAGATGAATTCAGCTCTAATCATTTCTATAAAAAGTACGAAATTCTCGCTATCAAATTGTATAAAACTGTATAAGTTTTAGAAGGTAAGTAAATGGATTGCGGCACCACCCAGAAAAGCTGTAGCTGCCACTTTTCAGTGGTTGTGCAACACCCCATTGACTTACTTCCAAAGCATTCAAATGTGTGTGTGTTTTGCATGTGTTTTTCATATCGTGGCCACTGCTAAATCTTCTTCTCTGATAACAGGAATATAGTTCAAAAATCGTTTCTCCCAAAGAAAGACATAGCCATTTTTTTACCTATGCAAGTGGGAAGTACTGCGAAAATGTTGGGTTACGGTAAAATGCTAGGTTTTCGCACAGCGTGAATCGCGAGGGGAGTCGGCGAGTTGCACTCGACAGCCTAAATCTCGTATATTTTATAAAAGCATTCGAGTTTAATTGATCTTCTTTGATTGATCTTCTCTAGTCTGAGATATTGGAAGCGAAAAATGGGACAAACGACATTTTGGTTTGCTCTTATGGGATTTTTAGGTGAGCAAAGAAGTTGTATTTCTTTGTATTAAGTAGTAAGAAGTAGTTAATCACGTTTGCGAAGTTAAATTCGAAAGTGAGCATTTCACTTGGGTGGCATAATATCTGGGAGCCAGCATTTGCTGAACATGCTAATTACGAAATGCTTTTTTTTGAAGCTCTGTTATTATGCTTACTGTACTGCTTATGGTAGACCAAAACATCTATATGCCAATATTTTGCATAATGCCTATCTGACATCGTTCACGAATATCGTATTGTCGCTAATATCAGCATCATCTAAAAAGACCCTCCCCCTTCCTGACCCCCTCGATAGACCTCCCAGGTGTGGCTACCACACCCCACACTTGACCCTGATTACAACTTTTCGGTAGTTCACGTCCCCAAATTTTTCGCTGCCAGTTTGCACTTCGATATTATAGATTATCATTTCACATATTTGCAAGACACATGTAGATAACTTTCGAAGATTTCGCGGTCCATTCTCTGGAATGGAGGAGATCCGAAAATCTTCTTGTGCAGATCTTTTATACAATACTCTTCAAACTTTGCAGTCAGAGAGAAGCGAATGCATCACTGCTGATACTTGTGTTTGCAACTAAAGAATCAAGAGATACTCAGTTGTTCCCGTACTCAAGACTCAAGTCCGGTACTCAAGAGATACTCAGTTGTTGTGGTTGGTGAATCTTACTTACTGGACACCCACTGCACGCTGGGGTGGTTCTGTTCTGTGACAGTAATTCTTGAACAGCCATTTAGGCGAATTCGGTGACTCACAAAAACGAATTGAATGGGCGGAGAAGTGACCTTATTTGATATATACCCTTCACATTCAAACGCTAATGAATTCCCCCCTCTCCCTCACCTCAAATGTACATTGTTTAAAAGTGGCGAATAAAAATGACATCTTCGGACTGAATGTCAATTGATTCTATACTTGAAAAGAGATAAAGCTCTCAAAATTCGTTGCTGGACTTTTCGCAGTCTAACTTTTACCACTTTCAGATACATGATACGCCTAGCGGTTCTCAGTCATCTCTTGGTGCAACCCCTACCAGAAAAGTCACATCACAGTGGGAGGTATGATTAATTTGACAGTAACCGCACAGTTGCACAGTATCAACATATCAAGCTGATATTTGCGCATCCCAGATTTGATCAATAAATTAGCTCCAAATCTTGAAAATGTACAATCACAATTGTCGGCTACCTTATAACGGTTTGTATAACTCTAGTAACATGTAGTGATATTTAGAAGGATGTTGACGACATAGAGGGTACGACGGCCGAGCAGCAGCGAATCCAGGAGCGACTCGGTGACGTTACTGCGCAAGCTAGTGCAATCCAAGCAAAGATTCGAGAGACTGGTAAGTGCGCGAAGCATCTCGAATACATTTACGGTTAAAGCTTGAGTTCAGAACAAGGTAGCTCGGAGGAACAAACATTGCTCGAAACTTATATGAATCTCACTAACGAAAAGAACTCATTGGTTGGACGTCAAGAGTACTACAACATCATAGAAAACATTAGGTATTCGTCTCTCATTTCAATATTGCCTTACTTATAGAACTTTGCAGGGAAGCTAGCCGCCATATTGCCGATCTCAATCAGGAGCTTGACAGCATGACGAGGAATACTCGCGATGGTAAGCTCATCTCATATAATCGATTACAAGATTCATAATTTTGGGCATTGATCCTAATCCATGTTAAGTGGCATACCCTGTTCTGTTGTCAGCTGCGCTATGTAGATCATCTTATCTTCATTTACCTATTCTCACAATGTAAGCAAATTTACAAGCGTTTTTCTCGGTAAAAAAGTTGGCGCAATTATCGCTGAGTTATACGATTTGTTTGCATGCCTTCTTCTTGGCAAAGTTTCCAAGGATGCAAATTTTGTATCAGTGTCATAATTCTCCCACTCTCAAAAAGAATGTTTTACCTGCAAGATTCTGAAGGCTGGTCTGACAGGGCACACACCATAATTGACCTACTTGACTCGCTTGATCCACTTCATCCACTTCACCATTGGTCATTGCACTGATTTGACCAATAGCGAAAAGGATTAAGTGGATCAAATATGGCTGGTACGTAAGCAAAAAACTCGCGAGGCAAATTTTAGATGCAATTTTGGTTTCGAATGTTGCCAGCTACGCCCAAAAGCTTTGTAAAGGATCTCTGACGCAGTAGGGTCATTTCTATGATCATTTGAAGCGTCACATTTGTGACAGTCTTCCTCTCGCGTAAAACTTTCAACAAAGTTACACTTGAAACTTTATCTGCAAAAGAAATCTATTCTTTTGCTTTATTCGAACTCTCAACTTGCCACCAAATCCTGTCCTCGCGCTCATTTAGAGCGTCCTAGAGTTCTTCTGGGTCTGATGTAATTTTGCGAAAAAACGCTTGACGCAACAATAATGTTGGCCAGCTGCTATATAAGAATTATTCAAAAAAAAAATTTGGGCATACATATACACCAGCAATTCCTATCTCGCGTTGCAAGTGAACATCACAGAATCCAGCTAGCCATATGTTTTCGATATTTAGACTACTTCAAAACAGCGGAAGAGAAGGATCGTACCGACGAGCTTATGGAATCTTACATGGAGGCCATTCAAAAGAAGGACGATCTTATACAGAAGCTGTTCGCTACTGAAGAGCAATTGTGGGTCCTACCTTTGTAGAAATACCTGCCTTTATTGACGTCCTGATGCATTTTTGTAGGCAAGAAGACGAAAGCCGGCTGAAGTCTTTAACACTCGAACGAGCAAGCAACTTTGTGCGAGGAAATGACGAGCCGCTCACGGCTAGTCGAAGAATTTTGACTTGGTTGAGAGGATAGCTCTACCTCTTCCTCTCTTCACAACCTCTTCTGCAGAACAACGTCATTTCTAAGCAATCATCCGATTTGCTACAATATTTGCTGAGCTTTACCATTGTTCGCTCCTATCTCGATTCTCTTTCATGTTTTTAACACTGCTTAACTATAGTTTCCGCTACTTATCCATCAGTCTAATCTACGCGATTATATAGTAATCGTAAATGGTTGCCATTCAGATTGCCCACCTTACCAGTAATCATCCCTTTGTGATCATGTTGCTTGTCATTCTTACTTCTCTATTGTTTTCCATATTATTAATTCCTTAAACTAGTCGTTGTTGAGCCTAGAGACTGATACATAGCAAAACATTTGAGCATTTTTAGGTCTAGGTTAAAGTTTGTTTGATTGTCCTTTGTATAGAATATACGCGGTGCGTTGAATTACAGGAATGTGCTCCTTTCATGCAATGATGTATAAGAGGCTTTCATGCATAAAAATGGACATATACTAGACTCTTTCTTAGATATTTTTGGGATGGGAACTACGGGACACAATTTACGCACTGCTGTGAATAGCAGCGGAACTAGCGTGGCTTGTTGAAGTATTGTTAGAAATTACATAGGCTGCTGCATGACGAAGACGCAAAGACTTTGTGCGTGCGCGAACGCGGCTTTATTAGCCGCGGAGCGCATGAGGAGCAGGATTTATAACGCGAAGATAGCGCGGGTCGCGTTCGCGCCCGCTCACTTATACTGCTTCGGCGCTTTAGTCATGCAGTAGCCTTTACATGCAAGGTGGTGTATGACGGCAGCAATCGTCGGACGTTTTTCCTTTGTATAGAAAATTTTAAACCAGGGCATATGAGTACGTTTTGTCAAACTTCATCCCCTTAGTTCTTGAAATTTTGTAAATTTCTGCAATCCTCGTCAGAAATTTTGTTGCGCTTTCCGGCTACCTTGAAGTGATTCGCCGCATCACCATATCGTGTAAGTTGAACAATTGCACCGGGAAGTTCGCGGGTGCTTGCTCGGCCACCAATCATCCATGCCACGAGCTGCCCGGTATAAACCGATATTGGACCCGATAAGTGACCGCGGCGCATCCTGTAAGCGCCCGATAGTTGACCCGATTAGCATGCTTGTGAGGCCCAGGAAGAGTGAAAAAATTTTGGCCTGTCTTTCATGGCAACGACTGAGTACAAATTGAGCAACTTGTTAGCTCATCTGTCGACATCATCTACTGTCGTCGATGACACTCACCCGATTTCTAGAGTTTGTTTCGTGAGCATATAAACTCAACTGCCACACAGCCCAACCCCAGAAGCGATTAGCAGCCCCACAGACACTTAGGATAGCCCCATCACTGCGGCGTACGGCGTACCTCACGCGGGTTCTGCCTTAAGCTATAGCGTGTAAGAAGTGCGGCCTTTGATAAGGCCCGCGGCACGCCGAGTGAGGCGATCGGACCGCGACTCTCCCGATAAGCTCTTTCCAATTTTAACTTTGGAGGCGGCGTTCCCGGTAAAATATATATGGGCCGCGGCGTGCGCGGCTAAAATTTTAAGGGCCGCAGCGCGCCATGTAACACGCTTTGAGGCCGCGAACTTTCCGATGCAATTGTCTGAGTAAGGAAGAAAGCAATCAGAAAATTGCAGTAGTGCCCTCTCGGCAACACGATTTTTCCAGACCCATCTGCATTCATTCGAGTTAGTTCAGAGGCTGTTTTGTAATCGTTCACATCAATTTATGCGCTAAAATCTTAAAAAATGTTTTGCATAAATAACATAGTATTTAAGATGCAGCGCAAAAAAGATTTGTGCAATAACTTTGCTTTTCAGATACAGTATTCAATAGTCAGGATTTGCGTGAGCAAGTTATGAGCAGTTTTCGCTTAGATGAGCAGAAGTGAGATGGCATTTTAAGAAGGGGCGTATTCAGAAGATGAGAGACTGCGGGCCGCTAATAAAAGATAGGAAGTGTGGGGATTTTGGAACTTGTTTGAGACTTAAGAAAGTGGGACCAAGGCGGAAAGGCCGTAAATTTGAGAGAAATCGAAGAAGATTTGAGAATTCTTGATGGGTTTCTACGTGGAAGGAAAGTTTTATTCCAATCTGAAACTATGTTGCCGTCTCCTGTTCCGATTTTCTGCTGCGCTAAGGACGATACTGAATCGAGAGCGGGACCGAATGCCTTTAAAGGCCGCGTCTACCGAAAATCTCAACTCTCATGTCTTCATTGTCATCGGGCCTTTCTATAGCCCTGATTTCGGGACACGAGGTCTGAACTGAATTGAAATTAGGGATTAAATTAGAATTGATAGCAAGAAGACCACTGGAGATGCATATGATTTTATCTTGACAAGTGTTATTTGATGTTTTCTTTTTTGTAACCACGTTCTGGCGCATCAATGGTTGCATTAATAAATAAATAAATAAATAAAAATTAGTGCTTTTGAAGCTCGATTTCGGGGCGGAGCCGGAGCATTGCGTTGGAGCGTGGCTGACTTCGCATGCGGTTGAGTTCTCGCATAAGCTTTTTTCGATTTCTTCGTCATTTGACCATATGCAGAATTGTGACTCAGTGGATCTTGTTTGATGATTTCACGATTTGATTAATTTCACGATAGATTTAATTTGTTCATAAATCTTCAAATATTTGGCGTTTGCTGTTTATTCGATTATTCAACGACCATGACCATCAAAAGATCGAATAATGACCATCTAGAAGTTTTCGAATACTCGATATTCGAACGACAGTCGAAAAAGAATTCTGAATCTTGAATTTCGAATTTTGTACGAATCCTCAGATTCTTCATATATTCGAGATTTCTAATCATTCGAACGATGCATTCAATGATTCTATAATTATTCATTGCGGCAAAGTATAGTAGGTAGCCAATTCTAAGCAGCGGCAATGTGTAGGCCTTAAAGGCAGTGTCTCACCAAAAATTGCTTGCTAAGTTGCATTTTACTCCTATCGGACCCTGTCTAACGCTTAAAATTGCACGAAGTTCCCAAAAACTCCGTTTTCTGGAGGCGGAAGCAACGTGGGCGAGTTGTGCCTTTCAACCTCAGCCTCAGCCACAGTGGCAGCAACAGAAGGGAGGTGGATGCTAATTGGAGGGACATGTTCAAACGCGTAAAGGGGGAGACAGAAGGAGTCGTCCGCGCATACCAGGTCGCTCTCCGCATACCACTTTGAGCGAATTTTTCTCAACGTAGAGTTGGCCAAATAGAGTGGGACTTGTTGCAATGGCCTATTCAGAGGGCCCTATAGTAGAATATGTGGAGATCCCCGCAACCTCAATTTTGGTGAGACACTGCCTTTAAGAGGTGGAACGAAATCCGCCAGTTTGAGCCGCTTCCATGTACCCATCTACTGGTGTTCAATGCACGACGCGTGCAATTAGGTTTTACAACGCCTATAATATTATTCTAAAAACATTGAGTAAACGTAAGCAGAAATCCGAAGGTTTGTAAGAGCGGACGCTACAGACACTGTACCAGGAAGGCACACTCTAAATAAAACCCAGGCTCCTTATCGAGCTGGCATGAGTTGAATGGCGCCTTTGGATACGGAATTCCACTCTGATCCGACATATAGCAACGTGACGCGTCCAACAATTCCGTTTTTTTCTACAGATTATAAACGGTATTCAGTGAGGTCCTTGGCTGACCAAATTTAGCTATGTGCCATATGGTCCGCTTTAAATATATTCGATTCGCTTTCTATCTTTAGTATTGTTAGATAAAAGGACAGTAAAGCTCACCCCTTTTTCTTCAACATTTCCTTGTCCCTGCCCTTCTCTTTAGAAGAATATAGTCTTGCCTGAACAATTCATGATAACATTTCTACGAGATTACTGGAGCTATTTACGATAGTTAAAAATTTTATGACAACAGCACACAGAAGAATCAAATAATTCTCATGGCATATCTATGAATCAGTTGTCTTACGTGTTGGTGGGCTAGATGTGTGCAAATGTTGCTATAATGTAAGCCTTGCAAGGGCTGCCAGAATTCGGAACAAACGGCTGTATTTGTATTCATTTATTTATTTGCATTATAGTCAAACATTGCTCAGGTTTGAGCATAACACTGCAAAATAAAGTTAGCAAACTAGAGACAGATTTTTAACTAACTTTTCTACAGATTTCAGTAAATTGTTGATAGTACAATTGCGTTTGCAATTCGACATTTCCTCCTATATGAAGAACAATTTTCAAAATAGATATTAGTGCTATCTTCTTTATATCGTGGACCACCGTTTTTACGGGGACAAGCGTCATACTACAGCTCCCGTCAAGCCGCAATGTCGCATCTTCAAGTTCGGTTGAATCATAAAGACGCTTTTCAGATTCTGCTTAAGCAGTGCTTTGGTCGCATGTGAGACCCCATGTAAATCGCTCACAATTTACTTCATTTTTATCCGTGTTCATGTTTATTATTTCAGGCATGCACACAGCGGCGCAATACGAGAACATTTGGAGATGAATATCGTCTCATTGTACAAAATCTAAAGCTTTGTTAGATGTGAAGTGAGACATTCTACGAGATGGTCAAACTACTAATAGCACCTGAAGCAAAGCTCAAAACCAAACCAGCGCCCCCTTTTCCGAGGTTTTAACCAGAATTTGTTCCCTTCACGCAACGATGAATGTTCCGATTAGAATTATATTCAAGTCTTCGAGATCAACATCATTGGTTTGACGGAGGGTGATAATTTCTCAGCACCACAATGATCCATGTATGTAGACTAGAATGAGCAAGGTTTTAATATCCAAGTTACCGTGACAAAATATGGTCATATCATTTCAAATACTTTTTATGGCTCAAAAATATAATGCGGTAAAATTTTTCATGCTAGTTAATCTCAAATGGAGAATGCTTTAGTGTGCCCCCAAGTAAATTAACAGAGCCCTAAGTCCGACAGTGAATGGCAAATTCTCAGAAGAATGTGCTGAAGTATTAGGTTGATGCAAAAGTAATGGTCGTAGACTATGGGTCCTTGAAGTTAAAAGTGACTTTTCTTAAGAACCAATGAAGATACCAGGTTGAAATTTCAAAGTCATTTCGGAGGCTTTGTGGTATACAACAGCTGAATTGTAGGAAAGCTGCGGAGTTAGAGGCGGAGTTTGCTGATTTTCGATTTTCATTTCTTTTTAAATTCTCAGTGAGAGTTAATTACGGCAACTGCATAAATGAATGCTACTATGTGTCCACTATGTGATGACCAATTGGAAGGCTTGTAGGATTTCTCCGGGCAAAGATCCGATTGAGCTGGCCAAATGCTCACAGATTTCGGTTCCGGCGGGCCTTATGTCGGAGAGCAACGAAGTGGTCTACAGAAGTGCCATGGCAACCAGGATACGAAAGCGTAACAGCGAAGGAGAGCATATTTTAGAATTCGCTACAACTCATGAATTAGCCTT